GAGGCTTTCTCCCCTGATTGTTGTTGATGGATGCAGCACTGTTGCTGTTGGAGGGAGGAGTCTTAGTTTTGGATGCACTCCGATCTCCCCCACTTTTGCTTGGGCCACCATTGCTGGGATGGTTCCCGTTGAATCCCCCTCGGACAGACAGCTGGGGCCTGTCGTTCTGAGTTCCCAAATGATAATCGGCAAGACATTCTGCAGTTTGAATGGCCTTGGGTAGGGTGTCTACCCGTTGTCTCTGTAGTTCCATATGGGCATGAGGTTTCAAACCTTCTATGAATGCGAAGAGTTTGTCTTTGTCCCCCATGTCGCATATATTTAGCATGACTGCGGAGAATTCGCGCACGTACTCCCGCACTGATCTGGTGTGGCGGAGCTCCCGTAGCTTTCTCCTTGCGTTGTATTCCACATTTTCGGGGAAGAACTGCAGGCGTAGGGCTGCCTTCAATTCATCCCATGTCTGGAGAGTATCTTCACCGGCCTTGATGGCTTCGTATTTGACCTGCCACCAAAGTTTGGCATCGCCCTGAAAATACATGGCAGCAGTTACTACCTTTTTGGATTCTTCCAAATGGCCCACGACATCGAAGTATTGTTCGATGTCGAAGATGAAATTTTCCACTTCTTTAGCATCCTGGGATCCGTCGTATGTCTTGNGTGGCTGGGCGCTGGCGATGGCTATCGGTGGAGCGACAGAGGCGCATGCGCGCTTGTCACTTGGCGCAGCCAAGACCACGGGGCCGACCATGGCGCTAGGCATTGCGAGGCTTGCTAGGCCGCCATGGGGCGCGGCCAAGGGGTCATGGGGCGTGTCTGGAAAGCAGCCCATGACAATTCTTATGCCACTGCTATCCTAATTGGGTGAGATGGACTAATAAGAAAGGCCAGTACAGCGTCTTAGTTGCCCTTTATTTCCCGACAGACATGAAACCTCAAATGCCCTAACTTTCCAGCCTTCTGTTGTATGGAGATGGAGCTTCCCGTCTCTCAGATGTACATGTAGCATAGCAATTAGCAAAAAATATGACATATCTCCAGTTTGTCCTTCAGGTCAAATTGTTGAATCGGCCGACGCTTTAAATGCAAGAACATAAATAGTGTATATGCACTATACTGGACTTATTAATAAAAAGTGAATAATGTAAAGATTAAGTTTGAGTTCGAATGTGTGTACACTCTGTTATCCTTCTATCTTTCTTTATGGATATTCCCTGTCCCACATTTGTACCATCTGTTTCAGTAGGTATGATAACCTTTCATACCCTTTCTGCTTCTTGTCCTGCAGGGAGATAGCTATTCAACTAAAACAAACAGAGAGACCTCAAAGTGGTTGGAGATATGGCATCACTTCGATCGACTGGCTATGTAGACCCTGGATGGGAGCATGGTGTTGCTCAGGATGAGAGGAAAAAGAAGGTTCGATGTAATTACTGTGGGAAAGTTGTAAGTGGTGGGATATACAGATTGAAACAACATTTAGCGCGAGTCTCTGGTGAGGTAACCTATTGTGACAAGGCTCCTGAGGATGTATGCCTGAAAATGAGAGAAAATCTAGAAGGGTGTCGATTAAGTAAGAAGCCAAGGCATGTTGAATATGATGAACAAGCATATTTAAATTTTCATGCCAGTGATGATGCCGAGGAGGAAGATCACATAGGGTATAGAAGTAAAGGGAAGCAGTTGATGAATGACAAGGGATTGGTTATAAATTTGACTCCTCTTCGATCACTTGGGTATGTTGATCCTGGTTGGGAACATGGTGCCCCTCAGGATGAGAGGAAGAAAAAGGTAAAATGCAACTATTGTGAAAAAATAGTCAGTGGAGGTATCAATCGGTTTAAGCAACATCTAGCGAGAATACCAGGAGAAGTTGCACCCTGTAAGAGTGCTCCTGAGGAAGTATATCTTAGAATAAAAGAGAACATGAAGTGGCATCGTACAGGAAGGAGGCATAGACGCCCTCATACTAAAGAGTTATCATCCTTCTATATGAACTCAGATAATGAAGAGGAAGACGAAGACCAAGAAGAAGAGGCACTACACCACCATATGAGTAATGAAAAACTTTTGATTGGAGATAAAAGACTGGACAGAGGCTGTAGGAGAAGTTTCAAAGGAATGTCTCCTGGTATTGGGTCTGAATCTTTGTTAAAAAGGCCAAAGTATGATACATTGGGTACAAGAGAGCCAAAGTCTCTATTTCAAGCTTCTGGAAAACATGTGAAAGTATGTTCAAATAAAAAATCCCGCAAGGAAGTCATATCCTCAATTTGCAAGTTCTTCTATCATGCTGGAATTTCTCCACATGCAGCAAGCTCTCCTTATTTTCAGAAAATGCTGGAATTGGTTGGTCAATATGGAGAAGGTCTAGTAGGACCCTCTAGCCGAGTATTATCTGGACGGTTTCTACAAGATGAAATCGTATCCATCAGAAATTATCTTTCTGAGTACAAAGCTTCCTGGGCTGTGACAGGTTGTTCTATTTTGGCTGACAGTTGGCAAGATACACAGGGTAGAACTTTAATCAATGTTCTGGTTTCTTGTCCCCATGGTATGTACTTTGTTTGCTCGGTTGATGCCACTGATGTAGTTGAAGATGCAACATATATCTTTAAGCTGCTAGACAGAGTGGTGGAAGACATGGGCGAGGAAAATGTCGTGCAGGTAAGGTGTTGCTTTCTTCCATCTCATTTTTTTTTCTTAAGTTTTGATCTTGCATCACCTGACTCTCCTACCTCACTATGTATGCAAAATATATATACATAGGTGATAACTCAGAATAATCCGGATTATCAAGCTGCTGGAAAGATGCTTGAAGAGAAAAGAAGGAATTTATTTTGGACTCCTTGTGCTGCATATTGTATTGATCGCATCCTTGAAGACACTGTGAAAATAAAATGGGTCAGAGAATGCATGGAAAAAGGCCAAAAAATCACCAAGTTCATTTACAATAGTTTCTGGTTGTTAAGTCTCATGAAAAAAGAATTTACAGCTGGACAGGAACTCTTAAAACCCTCTTTTACTCGATATTCTTCAACCTTCACTACTGTTCAGAGCTTGTTGGACCACAGAAATGGTCTTAAGAGGATGTTCCAGTCAAATAAATGGCTTTCGTCCCGGTATTCAAAGCTGGAAGATGGTAAAGAGGTGGAGAAAATTGTCCTAAATGCCACCTTCTGGAGGAAAATGCAGTATGTTAGGAAATCAGTGGATCCCATTTTAGAAGTGCTTCAGAAAATCAATAGTAACGAAAGCCATTCAATACCCTTCATTTACAACAATGTATACCAGGCAAAACTTGCTGTCAAAACCAATCATAATGGCGATGAGGGCAAATATCGGAACATTTTGGATATCATAGACAGCCACTGGAATTCATTGTCTCATCATCCTCTCTATCTAGCAGCACACTTTCTGAATCCATCATACCGGTATCGTCCTGATTTTGTTCCGGTAGGAGAGAACTCTTACTTCGGAATTTTTTTCAGTCCAACTTCAGTTATACCTTTTTCTGAATGTGTGTGTACTGTAGCATCCAGAGGTTGTACGTGGACTGAATGCATGCATTGTGCGATTGGAGCCAGACAATGCAAGAAGAATTTCTGCATCCATGCAAGTGAGGATTCCTTTTTTGTTTTCATACCCTTCCCATTTGGATGATAAACTTCTTTGTGTATTTTGTGTGTGTAATTATTTGTTTGATGTGATCTTTCAGATATCAGATTTCAACTCTGCTAAAGCTGATTTTGGAACAGATTTGGCACTTAGCACCAGAACGGAGCTTAATCCTGGTAAATATTATGAGTAATCATTCTATCAGTTCTAATGTCACAAAATTGTTCTCCGCAGTTTATGTGGATAACAATCTAAAACACCTCCCCACTGCAAATTATACTGACAGTAAATATGCTTTTGTAGCTGCTTGGTGGCAACAACATGGAATAAATTGTTTAGAGCTCCAACGTATAGCTGTACGAATACTTAGTCAGACTTGTTCATCTTTTGGGTGTGAGCATAATTGGAGTTTATATGATCAGATTCACAGTCAGAGGCACAACCGTGTAGCACAGAAAAGATTAAATGATGTCAAATACGTCCACTATAACCTGAGACTTAGGGATCGTCAGATAAGGAAAATGTCCTATGATCCAATTTTCCTCGATAGTGTTCTGCAAGAAAATTTGCTGTATGATTGGATTGTAGAGTCAGAGAAACCAGTTTTGCAAGACGATGAGGTACTAATTAAGCAACTTTCTGCTCTGAAGTGTTCAATTGATGACAGTAGTCGGACAATTTGCTTTATTGACAACTCTGCATTACCATTGAGATAGACATTTTTGTATTACCGATTTCTTTGGAATGGAGGACTTAGTTTACAAATAAAATTAGTCCAACCATCTAGTTTTGAGTTTCCTTTTGTTCTTTGTAATTTTTAGCTCAAGATCTACCCTTGGAATTAGTGCATACCACACAGAAATTAGCTGCTGTTTTTGTGTCCCCATCCTTTGAAGTGGCTACTCATTGATAAGTCCCAAGTGTTTCTGCTTTTGCCGATGCCTCTCTTTTAGTAATACACTAGGTCTGATGCCTCATGTAATAAGTTGCATCTTCTGGTATGGAGCTGTAACATCATCCAAGAATTTAAATATGCTTGTAGGAAGAATAAAAACTTAATATAGTGGTCAGGTGGGGTGGGGAATGGGAAACTCAGCAAATGATCCCCTTTATTTATTTATTTTGCACCCTTGTTTAGGAATTTTTTGTTTGAAGTAGGATGAGGATTGCTGAGGGTTTCTGATTGTCACTTAGCAAATTAGAATGCTCTCAGTTCTCGTCTTATTAACTTATTAATTCCCTCTCTTGACACAGCTTCTCTTTTGGTTACTTCTGTGATCTTATCAACTGGATTATATTGCAGGAAGTGCTTTATAATGAAATGGAACTGGGTGAGTATGAGAATGATTTCATGGACCATGATGGTGGAAATGCAGATTCAAGGAAGGGATCATTGGAGATGGTAACTTTAGCTGGTGAAGCAGAACCTCTAGAAGTTAATCCTGACGATACTGGTACAGCTACAGATGATGATTCTGATCTCAATTTTCTTGATAATGAGTTGAGCGATTAGAGTGTTGAACCAGAACCCAAATGCACAGCAGTTAACATGCATGGTAACCCCTCAAGTACTGGCAATGTATTCTATGATCGCAAGTCCTAGCGCAGTAACAGCAGTCCCAATCTGCAATGGCTTTGACACTCTGCAGTCCCAATCTCTTTCTGGGCAAAAAGTGCACTGTGAGTTGGGGAGTGGGGACGGGAAAG